GGCGGTTTTTCTTGTGTGTAAAGTGGAGATAAATTAAATGGTAGGTGGTAGGAAAATAGTGCTATATGTGGGAATTTCAATAAGGAAGTTTTGTTTTCAGAAACTCTGCATGTTCACAGTATGGCAATAACTTATCATCCTCTCTGAATTTTTTCAGTTTCCACCCTGTATCACTTTATGCCTAGAAAGCACGTTCCTCATCTGCACCCACAATACCACTTCCATTTGAGGGCTGATCAGGGCTGAGATGGAGCCTTCTGCAGGTCAAATCCATGCAGGCTTTTGTGTTGCCAGCGTCCTTTGAAGTGCTGTGTGTCACTTACATTTCAACTCAGACTTGGATTTAGGATATGCATCTAGCAGCCAGATCAAAAATCTGGTGTAGATTTAGTAGCACGTGGGTTTTGAAGGTAGTCAAACAGGATCACTTCTTCCCTGCAAGCCAAAAATAGAGGAGAATAAAAAGGAAATTTTACATGCCTCTGGACCCATCAGTGGCAATTAATTTGTTTAAAGAAGCAAATTACAGTTTTTAATTTCTCGCAATAAGTAGTTTTTTGAACTATGAAAACGGTGTTTCAGAAAAATGCTTGTGGCTTTGCTGAAGGACAGGTTGAATACATGGTATAGTTAGTTCAGTTTTTTTAAACAGAAGTTTAAAATCCTTTATCAAAAGTTTTGAGAAACTTGCAGGGTTAAAATAATTTCCTTGTGATGCAACTGTTGGTGGCTTTCTGAATTCTGATCTTGTACTTTGAAAGAAATGCTACCCTGTGTGGGTGTAAAGCATTACTCACAGATTAAGAATAGAAGAGACATCAGTTCTTTACTTCATTACTATGGTAACTGAAATGTGATCCAGTTTCATTGCATGTAGTGTAAGTTCAAAGCAAAGCTTCCGAGATGGGTCCTCAGACTACTTCCGTTCCTCTCAAACATTTAACACACAAACCTGCATCTCTTCTGTTTAAAGATTATTTATTCCTTTCGTGGCATAAAGATTACCTGGTGTGTACTTTGCAATCCAAATTCTGCGGATATTTTTCAAGGGAACAAACTGCCTAAAGCCATTAAATGATGACATTTCATATTCCACTTCCGGGATCCCTTTCCAAGTCATTTCCTCTCATCTCACCTCTGTTGTGCTTCTTGCCATCCCTTCCCCCCATTTAATAAAGGGGGAAGTGCCTCGGGACACAGCGGGGGCGGGGGGGAGGGGAAGGTCAAATACTACAATTCAGATTTTAAACTTTTTTTGCCCATTAACATGAAATGTTTCAGTAACTTGACCCAAACTAACAAGAAAGATAACAAACAAATTAGCTAGTCATAGTGTGAGCTTTCTTCTGCTTCCCTGCTGCTAAGAAAACATCCACAAGAAACGCAGATACAGGACATAGGGTCTCACTGCAGTTAGGCTGACAGAGGTAGGACATGTATGCGTTCCGTCAGAAACATCTTGAAAACAAACCTTCAGATGATACAGATATTCAGGTGTGTGTATGTTGAAGTCCTTTGCACTAGCAACATAAACATGCAGTTGTTCTGTAGATCACCTTTCTAGTCAGAGCTCATTATTACGGTGATTAGTGGTGTGTATATATATTCTAAGGCTAACTATTTATGGTATGTTATGAAGCAGAGTTTGGGGTGAAGACTAGCGGGAATTAATTTTCGCTGGGCCCTGCCAGCTCAGGCACATGACTTGCACTAGGAACAAGCCTGTAACGGCACAAGTGATATACTGACGCAAATGAGCGTAATTGTACAATTCATTTCTTCGTAAGTGAGAGATGAATGTGCTGCTCCTGAGCCTCTTTCAAATGAAATACACTAAATGCACTGAAGAATCAATCTTCGTGTTAATTCTTATTGTTTATAGAATCATAGAAGGGTTTGGGTTGGAAGAGACCTAAAAGATCATCTATTTCCCAACCCCCCTGCTGTGGGCGGGGATTCCTTCCACTAGACCAGGTGAACATTATACAACATCATGGAACAATGGTATTGCATGTGTTCTTACATGTACAGGGCCTCAGAAAATACAGCTGGACAACAAAATCCTGCCAAACCTAATGTTTATGGTGTCCTCTGTAAAAGCACTGTAACATTTTCATGCATGCTCCCCTGCTCCTGTGTCCTGTGTTACATTCCTTGAAAAGAAGTGACTTTTTACAGCACTCCCCATGTCACTTCAACCAGGCTAATTGGTCATTTTGGTTCTGGCTGAGGCTGTGTCTACAGAAATGGCACACAGTAAGAGCAGCTATGTAGTAGAGCAGAACAGCTGGTTTGGGGGAAACATGAGGTGCATTAGATGTCATTTCTGGTCTACTTGAGACTGGCTCACCATTGGCCTCGATGTCTGTTAGCTGTGGGAGTGCATCAGCAAGTCTTCCAGTTCCGCTTCACCCAAAAGAAGTCTAGTTTGTACACTCCAAGATTACTCTGAAATTAAAATTTAAGCATGATAAATGGGGACTGGCAAAGTTTCTTTAAAAGCATGCCTATGATCCAAGCTAAAACACTAATGTAAATGCAGACTGAGTGCCCCTGCAGAAAAAAACCCCAATGTTTGATTTGCTTTCACAGTGAAGTACTTTGTGGTCTTAACATAGCAGAGCATTTAAATACAGTTCCGTTGCTTCAAGGAGATCACATCAGTGGGCACATGCCAGGGTGTAACTGGCTGATGGCCTGTGATAAGATAAGAAACAGAGTTTGATGGCAATTAACTAGTGGTTATTGGATGACTAGCTGATGATTAGCAGAGAATCATTTACAGTCACAAGATCCAGCACTCTAATCCTGTTACTGGCATGCCAGTGATGTTAGCAACAAGTAAAGGGGGAAAAAAATCAGTTGAGTTGCCCAAAGAAAGAGTTTGGTTGCTTGCAAAACAAATAAACAAAAACTTCTAAAAGCTTTGAGATTGTCTACATTTTCTCTGCATCAAAATGCTGCGTTTCAAAACCTTACTAAACCCAAGAAACCATGGATGTATTATTTAGACATATAAATGAATCTGACTCTGGATGTTCTTCTTTTAAAAGGGGGAGAGGGGCAACTACTGCAGACCTGAAACAATTTTAAGTGTTTCAGTTGGAGCATTGTGTTTCACACAGCTCTCTAGAGCTTCTTTCTGTGTCAGAGTCGCAGCATATTGCAATACTATGTTGTGTAAATACAGCAACACGCATTTAAAATAATCATCACACCTGGTGGAGGTGCTCCTCATCCTGAACACATCAGATGAGCAGTTCTTACCCAGTTGAAGCATAAACCTTGTGTGGGGTCTCTACCCCCACATAAATCATGTGTGCTTTACTAGCTGATACCATTCATAACTTAAGAAATCATTTGCTGCATGTGTGAGCTAGACTTCCAGATTGAAATATTAATGCATTGGTGGGATGTGGTAATAGATTCTGTTGTGGCTATGTATGGCTCTGTGAACTCCACTAATGTTTTCTGTAATTGAGACATCTTGGTTAATTTCCATAACCATTTTCTCTGTGAAAGCCCTCAAACTACATGAACATGTTTTTATAGCTATGATTATTTTATTTGGTTGATCTTGTCAAACTTGTTGGGAGTAGAGAATTCACTAATAGTTTTGGCATAGCTCGGGTCATTTTGTTTTGCTGTTTCTGTGGGAGTGTTTTATGTGTTTCTCTTTACCAAAGTTATTAATATGATGCAGTAAGATACTGAAAGCTACTGAAATCTGGTTTTAGTAATAAGGAAGAGGTACAGGAAAGGATTAAATGTTTTGTACTTGCTGGCTAAACCCCATGGTGTATTCTCGTAGTTGTGCGTTCTGATTCATAAAGATTTAATTTGTATCTGTGTTTCAATAGCAGCTAGCCCACTCGTGAGGTATGCATCTTTCTGTCTTAAATCTGGGTGGTTTTATGATTTCATTGCAGATTAGAAATAGAGATCCCTTTAAAAATGAGACTGAGTGGACTTTAAGATGATGGGAAGCTTTTAACTGAGCTCAAGTAGTTTCTTAGCTATTACACTCTATTTTGTATGACATCTTAAATTCACACTGGGCTTCATGGCTATTTAATTTTTTTTTCAAATACAGAATACAGGCACACGGTGACTGCACACTCCATGGTTTGCTCTGTCTAAGCTTCCTGGCTCTGGCCTAGGAAATGAGCATAGGGTTTTCTTGTTTTATTCCATTAGATGCAGTGCTGGAGGCAGACAACCAAAGCAGCTTTAGTTAGAGGAGGTCCTTATTGCCTCCAATTTTTCATGTGCATGTTATTACAATAAAAAGTGAAGCTGTGACTTGGAGAAGGGGGAGGCAGAGGTTAAGCAACTGTTGTCTTCTGTCTCATGGCACAGGAAGTGGAGTCTCTAATCTGTCCTGCCTTATTATCACACCGCACCCCTTCAGCTCACACTCTACAACCACACGGATGTCCGAGTATAGGGGGTTCAGTAACGATGTGTCTGTGACTAACGCTGATCAAACTCAAGGCATTGTTCTGAACATCACCATGAAGTGTATTACAAATAGTCACATAAGTTATCATGCCATGCAAATCAGAAATTCGCTGTTAATGGTTTTATAGACTACTAATGCTGTTTGATCCTTAGTTCTTGTTCTGAATGACTAAACCTCAAATTTGATCTGTCACATCATGATTTAAATACAAATAAAGGCAGAAGTTGCAAATATTGCATAATAAATCATGGAATGTGGTACAGTTATTTACAAACATTTTGTTGGCCTAAATGTTATGTGTGGTATCCATGCTGGTCTGATGATCTCCTGTAGATCCTCCAAGATCCTCCCAAGTAGAAGCAAAGGACAGTATTACCAATGTCTTGGTTAACCTAGGAATTTGGACTCTGCTTTTTGACTCTAAGAAAATATCTTACAGTGTACGCAATATCCTATGGACAGTTAACTTTTACATTTCTGACACGCATTGCTTCTGCCTTTCAGTGACTCTCAGATGGTTTCTTTACCTTCCTTTCAGAAAAGACGACGGCGGATTGACCGAAGCATGATTGGGGAGCCAACAAACTTTGTTCACACAGCTCATGTAGGATCAGGAGACCTATTTAGTGGAATGAATTCGGTAAGCATGGGCGAATATGAAGAATATTTCATCTTAGACAGAATACAGGAACACTGTATATGTATATTGTGGTGAAGCAATGAGTCTTTCAACTATAAGAAAGAATGTCTGTAACACTGAAAAACAATCTACAAGCATCTTAATTCCGAGTTCTAAACACTTGCATTCAAGATTATGGAATATCATTTTTTAAAATTCCTGAATTTATTGACAGTACGTAATAGGTGCTGTATAAATTTTACAGGCTTTGTGTAGAATACTTCTTAAAAATTCATTCTGATGGCATGTATGAACTAAAATGGAGGTATATTTCAAAATTGAGTATTTTAGAGAAAACTTTTAAAATTGCCTTATAGTTTACTAGATTTCTTACCATGAACGCTTTAAGCTGTTTTAAATATAGTTGTTGTAAAATTCTAACTTACCTTGGTTTATGGTGTCCACGAATATTTTGGGGTGTCCTTGTTGAGGTTTTTCTATACTCTATAGCTCTATTTGTAGTGTGAACTATTTCCAGAGCAAGCAACGATGTCGCAGACAAGGTTTTGTGACTTCCTGTAGATTATAGGAGCAATAAATACTTTTATCTCTCTGAAAGTGAAAAACAGAGGCTAAGATACATACTGCAAATCAGCTTATGAGGATAGATTTCTTTTTTACAGCTTTGTATTTATGTGAGATGTGAATCTGTTTTTAAGGTCAATAATGTGCAATCTAGAAAAGGTTTGTATGTAGATAATGACAAAAAAGTACTTCCTGACCTTAACAATCCTCTTTAATGGAAAAAAATGTTTTGAGATGAAAATTATGAAAAATACTTCCTGACAAAGGAGAAAAGAGAGTTCTGTCAGAGGTATTGGAGTAGAGAGCAGAGCTGCAAAGGAAAGAGATGGTTTTAAGGTAGGCAAGTGAGGTCATTTGTAGTTTCAGCTAGTTTAGAGCTTATTGAGATCAGGCAAAAGCTTTTGTAACTCAGTGAATACTGGGGAAGAGCAAAGATGGAAAATCTGACATGACAAACAATATGCTGCATTTTCCCAGAAACAACGTAAGGGATCGGGATTGATTTCTACTAACACATCTGTAAGAAAGTTAAATGGACAAACAGAGCTTCAGCTTGATAAATTTCAGTTAAAGCTAATTACTTATTTAATGCAATATATTACATTAACAATATAAGTCATTATTAATTGAAATAATGAAGGGAGTGTTTGTTTTTTTTAAGCATGGTTTTTTGCTTTTTAAATGTTTGTTGCCCCTCCTGTGAGAACCTTCCTCGTTCTCACAGCTGAGCTGCCTCATGTCAGGTTTGTGGTGAATGCCTGAAGCTTTGCTCTTTCACCTCAGACTTTCCTCCTGCTTGCCCTCACCTTTGCCTTGCGTAATATCCAGTTCATCTCCAGATAGCAGGTAATGATTATTGTCTCTCTACGTAGACTTTTTGATTTTGAATGCTCATAACTGGCTATTTCTTTCTCTCACTTTTTTTATTTGGATGATGTGCTCCGTCAGTGGCCAGAGTGATTTTTTCTGGTCCCAGATAGAAATGATGTGTATGCAAAAAATAATCCTTTTTTTTCTCTCTCTCTTCAGAAGCACAAATCTCTACTTCTTCACACTGCTTATTTTCCTGCCTGTCCTGTAGTGACTTACTGTGGTAATATTGCATCCAGTCTCCTTATGCGTTCTTCGCAGTGTAAATTTCAAGATTACAGTGTTAACATACAGATTTTTTTCTGCTGCTTAATTTGCTTTATAGTATGGACATTATACTCCTTCATGAACCTTCTTGTGCCTTCTCTTTTCTGAATACCTTAGGAGAACTTCCTGCAATTTCATTAGCTTTTCCCATATAAATTTGGTTCTTAATCCACTGTCTGCTCTGTGCCTTTTTTCATCAGCATTGTTCTTTATTACATAGCCTTATGATTCTGAGTACAATAGTTTTCTCATTACTGAAATATTTTGCTTTTTTGTTTGCCTTCTCTGTAGAATGCCTCGCTCCTTTGTCAAAGGTGTGCTTAAACAGTAGGAGCCCTCTGTGCACTGTTTCTTCCTCATTCCCATCACTTTCTTATTTTACCTTCATATTTCATGGTGAAATCTCTCGCTTTCTTCATCTGCTTCATATTCCTCAATTTAGCCTTTGATTTCATGTATGCCATCCTTTTCTTAGTTTTCCCCTGCTTCCTTTCTCAAAGACCATCTGTGCTGTTTCCTAATTCTAAAAGAGAGGGAAAGAAAAGGAAAGAAGGAAATTAATGAGATAGATAAGCAGCACAACAGACTTGTATGATCTTTAATTGGTGCAATCCTCTTCCCTGTCCAGAATCTTTAAATCCTTATCCTGTTTAAGTTAGACATAAGAGAGAGCTACCTTGCTGTTACATATCATCAAAAGAAGGCAATGGCATCTTTGGAAAAGCAAAAAAATCATTGAAGGCAATGGCATCTTTGGAAAAGCAAAAAAATCATTGAAAAAAAATCATTGCATTTCATGGTGCTTGTTCTTGTAGCTCAGACTGCCTCAAAAGGAGGATGCTTCAGAAAGAATACCACCTTATAAGCCTGCAATTGATAGATTGTTAGACCTGCTTTTTGCTCAGTGTTTTTAACATTGTATGTCTCCTACGTAAGTTTTCATATACCAAGTCGCCATTGAACTGTTAATGCTGTCATGTTTAGCTGTAACAGCCTTTGGATTTCAGACTGATACTCCTTACGAACACAAACATCTATATGCATGACTCAAGTACCAGAGAAATTATTCTAACCTCATAAAAATTTACACTTTAGCCTTGCAATTTGTGTTGATTTGCTGTTCTCCAAAACTTTCGAGTCATGTAGGCAAGTTGTCAGGCTGGAAGGTGACATGGCCTCAAGATGTTTTTCTAACTGTCTTTTCACTAGAGGCAGAGTTCATTCAGATGAAATTAATGCCATCCTCAAGTCATTCTTGTGAATACGTTTACATGTAGATTAATTATTTTCTGAGGAAAAAAGATTAAATTTAAACTCCTTTTGTTCCAATGAGTAATAGAAGATGCTTGGTGAAGAAGACAACCAGCTTGGTGAAATGTGAAAGTTCTTAAACACCACCCCATGAATGTCATTGCACTTCTCCACACTTACTGAGTTTGTAGTCTCTGATGTCAGACCTGCTCGAGTAGTGGCTTTGAATGCTTTTCCCTGAAGAAAAATGTGAATGTAGCATTGCTTTGCTGCAGCTGTATCACTTATTTGAGCAAAGTGCCAATGCAGAAAATGGGTTTACTTTGTACTGCTTAAATACATAAAAATCAGATCTTTTGCACAGCATGCTGCAATATGCCACACTGTTGAAGACAAAAAATGCTAAAGCAGGGTCTTTTTTTCACATTGGTTTGAGAAACAGTATGTAGAAAAGAGTTGTGCTGATCCATTTTGTGTGTGTGCACGTGTTTTGCTTTGCTATGGAAAAGAATATACTTCTTTTGTCTTTGCAGACAGGGAAAACACCGCATAAGCTAATTGGAAATATTTCTCCAGTGCTGTTTTCGTACAGCTTTCTAGTGATGTTTTGAGGTCTCTGTGAAGGAGCATACATATAATAATTGCAAGTGGTGCCCTGCAGGCACACGCTTTATGGCAAGTTCAATTTCAGAAGCTGCAGCCTGGAATGAATATGTTATTTTGTGCCCATGGTGTACTTGTTCTGCGTGCTCTAGGGTGCAGAGAGAAAAATGCCAAACCTTTAAGGTTGGAGCTGTCTTCCCACAGGCACTTGGAGATGATTAGTTTAACTTTTTCAACACAAGCAGGAAAGAACTATGGATTCCCTTCCTTTTTGTTGTTAAAGGCAATGAAAGTTCTAGAGAAATGTGCATGTCGGGGAGTGGGGTGGGGCTGGGGGGGATGGAAGTGTTCTTTAGGTATTTACTTGCATCAGGCTAAAAATACCTTCAAATAATCTGTTTCCAGGGAAGCTGATAGATTGAGTATGATTTAAACAATAAATGTCCTGCCATTTAAAGGAGCAATAGCAATGAAGGAAAACAGTGTACGCTGTTCTGTAAATAGAGAAATAAAAAACCTTCCACAAACCAAAAGCTCCTTTTTGTTTTAGAAAGTCCTTTTTTAACTATCTCAAGTTAGCCATACAGTGCACATAATATCCATATATTTTGTAAGTTGTCTACCATATTTTTAACATAATGGTGTCAGTTTCTCTGGTTTATCATACTTGCCAAAGAACATTTTCCGTAAAACAAGATAAATTATAGCTTGTCAGATGGAGTGGAGCTGGATAGCAATAAGAGATTTGATTAGGTTTTTTTGAGTAATCAAGCAAGTCAGTGAAAGCCTGAATCAGCCAGTTTTCTTTGGGAGAGAGGGAAAATTTCTGCCTCAGCACCAGTTCTTCCATCTCTCCTGCAGAGCTGCCTGCAGAAGTGAAAATTCCAGCAAGCCTACGCTGCGCATGTCCTCATGCAAAAGTAATGTAGCTTTAATGGTAAAGGAGCACTTTGAAAAGCAAACCAAAACCAGAAGTAAAATTGGAAGCAAGAAGATGCCACAGCTCACTAACTGCCATTCTTGTTTTCTCTGCCCCTCCTTCCCTTCTGTCTCCAGGTCAGCTCAATTCAGAACCAAATGCAGTCCAAGGGAGGCTATGGGGGTGGCATGTCTGCAAATGTTCAGATGCAGCTCGTAGATACAAAGGCAGGATAAGCCTGGGGAAAGCTTTCCAGTAAGTACTGCACCCTGCTTTTTAGGCACTGTTATAGTAGTAGGAAGGACAGTGATACTGCTTCATAATTTGCTCCCTATAAATAGCTATGTCTCTATGGTGCCCAATTTTAAAATGCATTTCTGAGTAAAAAATTCAGTATCATGTCAGCATGTTAATTTTTTTACACAATGAACAAGAGATTGTCCTGACTGTATCAGTCTGTCCGTAAGCCTGTTTTGTACCTAAGATGATATTGTAGAGAAATGTTTGCAAGTGAAGTTAGTTGTATAACCAATTTCAGGATAAAGTTGTGATACAATTAGGGTACCATTTCTGCAACAGTTCCATCCATTTAAGCATAATATGTGTGGTATTAAATCAATGAGTAGCAATGTTATGGTAGGAAAATGGTCACTCAGAATGTTCAAAACTCAGTTTAATGTGTTTTCTGTCTTCCAGGTTTATGTGAGTTCCTGTATCTTCTTTTCCTGTGTCCCCTCTTTTGCCTTGGTGACTGCTTTCTGTGCTCGTGATGAGAGAAGTGATGGCTGATTGTTCACCCTTTGTGATTACTCCAGTGAAAAGTTGCTGTTCTGCTCTGATGATGCCATTTATCAGATTGGTCCGACCGTGCCTTTCGGTGGCATGCACACATTGGCCTCTAACAGTATCGTGGACATAGAGCTGTTTAAGATCGTTTTCAGCTTTTATTTGTTTTAAGGCAAATTAAAGCACCAACCTGAGCATCCCTCATCCCTCACAAATACTAATTCTCAGCATTCTGTTGCTTTTCAGTCTTTAAATCTTTTCTTCACTCAAGCAATTTAGAAATGGGTGAGTTTCCATTAATGTCTTCAATCATCTATTGTTCATACCCATTTTTGAAAGGTCTGGGACCTGCAAGCACAAATGATCATTTCATACAAAATCAGCAGAGTAGATGACTGCATGCTTTGTGAGGTTGCTTTGTATGGTGGCCCGCTTGGTGCTAGAAGAAAAAAAAAAAGAAATTGCTTAGTGCAGACTGGTGAAAAATTTTGCTGTGGCACCAAGTCATGCCTGTTTCTGAAAAAGGACTTGTAACTTAGCTGCTTCAGAATTATGTCTTTATTTTAGTTTTTATCCAGCTGGTCTTGAAATAATAAAGAGAGAGCTTGCATTCATGAGGCATTTGTTGTAAATGTTCAGTATATTTATTTTGAAAGAGCTGACCTTGAGGCTGTAAACCGGTGTAGTGCTGTTCTAAGTGTTGTGGAAGCGCTTTAGTCTATTTAAAAAACAAAAGCATCATGTTTGGCTGCTGCTTTTTCTTTCTACAATTTTTCTTAATTTTAGGCTGTATGGTCATTTCCAGTAGCAGCATGTCAGACTGTCTGCAATAGTAGCTGAAAAATTTAGTAGACCTCTCTAAGTAGTTGGCAGTTTCTGTGTACTAAATATTTAGGGGCCATGGAAGTTGCTAAGAGCAACATACTAATCTGGCAGAACAGATGCCAATGAAAACAACATACAGGGTGACTTTTTACTAAGTCAGTAAAACGCCTTTTGCTCAGGTTCCAAAGCATGTTTCTTTCACACGTTGTGAAATTGTATTTTAATATTGCACTGTTTTCAGACTGTTTCTGTAAATGGTCCCTATTTTTCCTCCTTGCTGGTGGTTTGAGACAAGTCAATGATTTGAGTCCTGGTTGAGTTAAATTTTTATGTGGAAAAAAACCATCCAAACAAATAAGGCATGACTGAGCCTAGTCAGATCCATTTTTATATGTAAACAGGCATGTGTTCATAAATGTAATTACTGTCACAAATGATTCTTTAGTATTTTTCCCTCCTTTTCCTGATTTCACATGGAAGTAGCTGTGAGGTTGATTTAAAGATGTATGAACCTACCTACTCTTCTCTCTGTTTGCGAACAACACACAAAATACAGGGCCATGAAGGCAGTTTGCCTTCCCTAAGTTGTAATCCAGTGGTAGATGTCAGTTATCTGGTTGAATAGTTCGAATTAGGTTGGATAGTCTTCACTAATAAAGGTACTGATTCGTGACCACAGAAGATCAAGATTTCAGTTGTCTGGGTGCATAAACACATGGCAGTGCAGTGATACATTCTTTTTTAGGGGTCAACATTTCCAATGCCGCTTTATCAATGAGTCTTAAATATACAATGATTACAAAATTATTTGAACTTTGTCATTGGTAAGAGCAGCTTAAATTTGCTTGCCAAACCTATCTTGCACTTGTCAAAATGTTTTCAGCTCAATAGCCAGAAAAAAAAAATTTACATATTTTTATAACAGACATACTTTTTTTGTACATTGTGTTCATTCTTGAATAAAGTCAGTTCAGTGTTGGCTTGTAGATATTAAAAGGAAAGTATTGACTTTGATTCAATAAATGTTTTCTTTCAGTTGGTGGCCTGTCCTTTGTCATAAGTTACATTTGCATTAGAAAAACACTTGCAGCCTACAGACAAATTTGCCGTGAAAATTCTCTAAAAAGTAACCTATTAGTGACAATAAGTAATTTGCCACTTGACCCTTTTGTTGCCAAGTGGATTAGACCATAATTTTATTGGTAGTTTTGTTGCATTGGTTTAGCATGTGTACCAGGGGCTTCTGCAGGGGGATTTCCTGATTGTGATGCAGATTACCGTGGTGATCAGTAGAAGACTGAAATTGTACAACTGATCATCGTAATAGGCATATTTGCATTAAATATACCTGTAAGGCACAATATTGTCTACTCTGTGTTTGGCTCAATTAATTTGTGTGTTTGACACTCTCACAGTTAATTCCTTAAGCACTAATTTACTACTTTAGACTTCATGCTAAATAGTTTTAAAGACTGATAATGAATTCTTTAGCTCATGGCACGTTCTTGAAATTGCCAGTTGAGGAGAAAAGAGTTCTGAAGGGAAAGATCGAGATAAAGCCATGAGGTATCAATCAGCTAGAAAGTTCTTAGTTTAATTTTTGAGGTTGTGGAAGCTTAGTACTGTCTACAAAGGTGCATCTTGAAATCTGTTTATGTCTATCCGCAATTGCACAGATGCTGCTTTCCTCAGAGACTGCCAAAAGAGACGCCCAGCCCAGCCCCGTCCTTGCACGCGAATTAAATTGCCACGCCGTGCTTTGGTGAAGAGCTTCCTCACTCATTCTCTGCATCACAACCAGAGCACTAGAAACATATGACAGAAGGAAACACTGTGGCTAATGCAACAGCTTTGTAAATCCTAGAACTGCGTGGTTACATCAAGATGACTGCTTACTAAAACAATTTTAAATAGGATTTTTCAGCCTCTTAAAACACACTTGCATACCCAAACCCTTACAGCAAAACTAAACTGTTCTAACCAACGCAAATGCAGTGGCCATACTGTCCCCCCAAGGTACACGCTATAATGAGACATAGTGATTTCTTCTCTGGGTGTCTGACGTTTCCTGGGGCACGAGGCACCCAGAGCGACGTCCACCCGCCTCCTGCACAGCAGCTAGTCGAGTACCCACCCGGCAGCAATGCGGCAGCCAGCGCAGCGCCCGCAGGACAGACGTTCTGTCCCGGGTCTGCCATGGTGAGGCTCGCTCAAACACGTGCAGCCACCCCCGCCGCACCCCAGACTGGGCGAGTCCTCAGCGTCGCGTTGCCGGGCGGCACTGGTACCTTCCCAACTGCACATTCGCGTAGTATGGCACCGAGTTAAGAAAGCCCTTCTCCAATCAGATTTCCTAAGTAAGGGCACTTAGCTAACTCTGGAAGCACGGAAAGGTCAGGTCCTCCTCCTCCCTGCCCCCATTTAGCAGGGCTATGCCAGCCCCGCCGGCTAATGGAAGGGCGCCTGGAGCTGGTTAGTATCAATACAATAATCAGTGCTGTCACTGCGTGGAAAACGGTGATCAAATACGTGCAGCTGCTCATTTGCTCACTTAGGAAAGCTATCCACACCCATGCTAAAAAACCCTCTGTGGGACTGAAATGTCTTCTAAACTTAAGCTTCCCTGTAAGTAAGAAATTTCCACAGTCCTGTCCAACAAACCATGCCACAGGGCCTATAAACTACCCTTATCCCCGCCCCCAATATTAGCAATCTTGACCTTCACGTTACGAGATGTTTAAAAAGTTGCAATAAATATTTGGATAATTGGAAAGTGGGCACTGGCCTCCCTGGATGGGCAGTTGCTTTAGATAGCTCATTATCCCAAGGTAAAGCCAGTTTCACAGCACCCTGGACTGTTTCCCAGTTGAGAACCCTACAGTCCAGTCCTCTGACCATAAATGAACCTGTGAATGAGAATGGCCTTTTCTATTCAGGCCAATTGGATCCAGAATCAGAGGGCTGCAAAGAGTTGAAACGATTTCACAAAACTAAGAATACATTTGCATGGTTCAGGATTTCACTGCCTTGCCTTTTCGCCTGCACAACCTTTTGCCCAAATTTCCGGTACACCACATCATCTGCATTTTTATTCCTTCACTGTGTACCGTTTAAGGCTTTGGTCTTTTGAGAACTCCTCAAGATTTTATGTGTTACCGATGTTGCTTGTTTCCCACCTGAGGTCAGTCTTAATCCTCCCATCACAAATGGCATGACAGCCACATTTACATGGATTATCAGGAACATGCAGCAGGAACTACTGAATTTAAGTGAGGCCTGAAATAACAAACATAGGATAATTGCCCCCAAACATCTTGAGAGTGCTCCTGAAGTAGCATTAGCAATGTTTTGATATTTGGCTGGGGGCTAACATCCTCTGAAGGGTAACAGCAGTGCCACATTTTGCTTTTGTAGCATTGCACCAAATGACTGGCATCCCAGGCCTCATCCTCACTGCAGTCAGTAACACTTACTGAAACGTCACTTCGAGGCTTTCTAGTGAGGTGCACAACACACAGGGTATAACGCACACTTTGAAAAACTAATTTATTTTTTATTAATAATTATATCAATCAGCTAATAATTTTTTTTCATAAACTAATTGCCCTGTCCTTTGCCTGTGTGCTGTACCCAGAAAGGTAAGACTGCTTCCGAGGTAACAGGGTAACAAGAGAGTTCTCTACTGCTTCAAGCAATTACCACAAGGTAAAAAAAAAAAAAAATCTTCTGAGAAAAGTAAAATGGGTCATAGCACTCCTGTCAAAAAGCTTCATTTGTTTCAATGAAATAATTTATTTGAACAAGGACTGAAGGAACTAAGCCAGGATAGGACAATTTGTCTCATCAGAGGTCACCGCAACTTACTTTAGTAATTTATGTCAGTAAGAGCACTTAGGGTTGCCTGGGTGAACAGAGAGAGAACCTTTCGCTTCCAATACAGCTTCAGATACAGCTTTCAGTCACTTCCACTGCAAATGTTCGTTTGATGGGAGATAGGAACAAGATCTGTCCGTTGCCAGGCTGCTGCAGAGAGACCTGTTATGGACATCTTGGCATGGTGGAAGAAACACCAAACCACTTGAGGAAAGGCTAAGGAACTTGCGCAGATACATGGGATAATTCTTTTTCCTCTGGTTCCTATAAGCAACACCTCCAAGGAAAGTGGGGAGGAGAGCGGAAGGGGAGCTGTCGCAGTCATGCCTGCTATGACTGAGAGCTCTGTCCACAACTCTGCTCATCCGGCATTTGCTCACACCCACTGACCGGGTATGCCAGCTCTTTGCAAGAGGCAGAGGTCTCTGACCGTGCAGCCTTGCATGGTTTCAATAAATCTCTCTTTATCTGTGAGTATGACTGCATGTGACTGTCAGAGAGGTTGTTTACAACACTAAGATGCCCCCTTAGTCAGCCCCGATGACACAACATTGTCACTCTGATGTAATACCTTCTTGAGCCCTTATCTCTGAGAACAGAGGTGTCAAAAACCTACCATCTATCTTCCCTACAGACAAGGTGAATAATGCAGGAGTGGTGAACATGGCACCACGTCCCCATTCGAGCTAAATGCTTCAGGTCTTGCCATTTTGCTCTTGTGGCTAAATGCAAAGTGAATACTGATTTTGATTGTTTGTGGTTCTTTAATCAGCAAGTGGGTTTGATACTTCCATTCATGGGTTATAGGAAGCAACAGAAAAATCCCAGCCTGCCTGGAGGTGAAAGTGCACAAAAAGAAGTGTGCTGCAGGATCAGTGGTTCTTTTAAAAGCCAGACCCACAGTGTGGCTGCCTACCTGCTCTGAGGCCGAGCGCAGGGCTCAGTATAAAAGCCCCAAAATATAAGCAGGCTTTGGCAGCAGTTCTTGGGAGCGAGAAATGGAAAATTCATCAGCTTTTGCACTTCCAGGCTCCGCTAGCTTTCTCTGGTCAGGTAAACTTGTCTGGATAGAGGAATAT